TCTGGTGTGAGGGGGGGGCGGCGGGTGACAATTACCTACTTGCCTTGGGTGTACAGCAGGTAATTCAGTTTGTCAGTTATTTGAGAGGAAGTTACTCAGGCGCTCGGGTAAAACAGCTGACAACCTGTCTTGTAGCCAAAGACCAATGATGGCTGTTGGTGAATGACCCACCTCAGTGGTCGTTATCTGTGACGCAAACATCCTAAAGGCGTAATTAATTTTCCAGTGAACTTTCACGCCCTCTCTTTTTCTCTCTGTCTCACACGTATGCACCCCTCGGTGCCACGCGCGTGTGCTCTGCTGCACCTGACCTACCTATCTAAAACTGATGGCGGCCTAGCCCCATCCAGTGAGCTAGCAGGCCGGTTGCGTGCTTCTTCTTCTCTTCCTCACCGCAACACAAGTTTAACAGGTACTCATTGTGCACTTCTAGACGGGCATTTTAGGAAGTCCTTGCTGGCGTGCGCGACAGTAGGCTCTCCTTCTTTACGTACCCAAAAATAAGCACAACGACAGTTCATGCCAGTGTAGTGCACAGCCTTTCCAAATGACAGTCCAGTACAACCAAGACGTCCTCACGGGAGGACCAGTAGTCTTCCTACGCCTGCTACTTCGGTATGTTTGTGTCTTTTGTCCTCAGCATCGCGGGTATCTTTCAGATGGAGGGGTTGCGTGCTGAAGTTAATCTACGTGGACCTCATCGTATTCCTTGTGGCCTATACTGTTCTCAGTCTGGTCTATCGCTTTGCCCTGAATGCGGAACAGCAAAGGTAATGCCCCTTTTTGCTCTAGCAAACGCCCTGTCTCTACAGAGCATTTGAAAGTGTAATCCTCTACGTCGCCAACTTCCAGCGTATGATTCCCATCTCCTTCATCCTCGGATTTTACGTCCAGCTGGTGTTTAATCGCTTTTGGGAGCAATTTAACTCAGTGCCTTGGGTTTTTAATGCCTGTATCGCGATAACAGCCACCATCCCGGGTGATGGGCGGGCGCAGTGTATTCGGCGCACCTGCATAAGGTACATGAACGCCAGCCTTATCATTGCCTCGTCAAGACTGCATGTGGCGGCACGCAAACGTTTTCCCACTACTCAGCATCTCGTGCAAGCGGGTAAGCTCTTAAGATTGTGTAACTAAGATGTTTATGCATATTTGTTTTAAAGTAAATTAAATTATCAGCTGAGGCTTTGATGCTGTATTTGAAACAATTGACAAAACAGTTTACTTTCCAAAGGGATACTAATAATTACTGATTGAGGAGATATGGTACCAACAGTACTGATAATAAACCGCTCTCCCTCTAGGATTGGCTTCCTAGCAGAACGTTTATTTTGCACAACACCCAAATGAATGTACCGAATGGTGCCAGATTAATTGAAGAACACCGGTTCAAAAACTATAACCATTCCTTAGACTAGGTGCTATTTTTGTCCCACGAGAAGGTTTCATCCAGTGTCTAAGGCAGGTTGTTTCGCCTTTTACCCGTCAGGTTATTTTCAGATTTGCGTTTAATTGCAGCTGTCACAATATATTTTTGGGTATTGG